GCTCTCGAACGCGTCGTCCTCGAGTCTCTGCCGCCACCGTTTCGGACAAAATTAAATATTTTATCTCTCGCCGGGCGAGTCATGCCTGCTTCTCGATGAACTTTTCAAAGGAGTTTCTCCTTGCACCGAGGTAGAGAAGGGTAGGGAATCTTGTGGAGGTTGCCGTCGCGGGGACCTGCGTGGACGAAAATGGTGGAGAAAAATCGTGTCGAAGGGGAAAGGGAGGATCGATCGCGGCATGGCCGACGTCATTTTTCTCCGCGGTATTATTCCGAATCGAAGTTGTCGTACAGGATGCAGGCGCGTCAAGATTACGTACGTGCCAGGAATTCTGGGATATCGACGGTATCGAAAGCTACGAATTCTTCTTGTCGTCTCTGTTGTTCGCCGATACGCCGGTCTTACACCGGGGAGACTTTAATTTCCCGGGAATCCGGCGGGTATACCGGCGCCGTTGCAGACAAAAGAAAAAGCGTTAATCGCGATTCCTCTCCCCGCCGCGAGTTTATCGCGTACTCGAACGCATCTCGAACACGCAATTTCTGTTCCCGTTTCTCGACCGATTGCTCCAGATCCTGCCTATTGCGCTCGTATCTCCGCTCGCGAGTGTCTGTGCTCGCCGATAACGGAGCAATCGATAGATAAATCGAATTAGGCTCGTAGGGTAACACGGTGTACCTATTGGTACTGTGGCTTCTCCATTTCCTCTTAATTGTCTCGTTGGAACTCGCCGATATCGAGACTCTGGCACACTGCGTTATTTCGATGGAATATTACATCGACGACGACTACGACGACGACTACGACGACCAACCGAACCGTTCCTAATTTCCAGAGTTCCCGAAGAACCGGGGCTGGCGAAACTTTCGCCGGTGTAACTTCCGGAACAAAAAGTCAATCCCCCTGGCCCGAGTCGGTGGTCCCCAACCCTTCGCCGAAAGTAACAATTATTGGACCTCGCGAGCTCTTTTCCTTATTTAAAACGACCGTCCTAGGAACGTGGTAATTACTTCGCTATCGTTTCCCGGGAAAAGGTGGGCAGCGGCGCATTTCGCGAAACACAGTCGCGAAAGTCGTCTTGATTCCGTCCATAACTTCCTTGTCTACCTCTGTATGCCGCATTAACCTCGCGCGACAGGCAAATCCCGTCGCAGGGATAATTAAATTGTCTGCAAAAAGGATTAATTAAACCTCGGCATTTCGTCTGTCCACGCGATAATCTTATGCCGCATCGGATCGTTAAATCCTGCCCTATATATATATATATATACACACACACACACATACACGTACATAACATACGCATCGTGTACGCGTCGTACACTCGCAGGCTCGCGTACATACGTATCGATTCGACGAGAAGTCGTATAGTAACAGGTAGGGAGCACGTGGTTAAATATAATGTCGCCGAAGGGCAAGTTCGAACAGCGTGGCTGTTAGCCATTCTTCCGATATTCGTACCGCCGTCATCTCTAACGATATTCATTCAGATCAATATGTATGAACCGTGGCGAAGCGGTTCCGGTCACTTGAACGTCCCAGTATACAGACCGACCGGACACACAGGTACGTGCAAATTTTCAAGAGGCTGCGGATAGGTCTCTGACCGAGGCGAGCTGCAACGCGCACATCGGTCGCAGTGAATATTCCATTCGCAGTCACAGGAAGTGGCGGGAGGGTTATATATGCGCATAGGCTCGAACGGGGTTGCGGCTATTCCGGCTGCCGGCTCTCGAGGGTTGTTCGGCTATCAGGGGCGAACCGAACCTCTCCGGCCGCACTCCACGCGATCGTAGTTTCGCGTTATCGCGCGGGTTGCCTGTGAAAATAACCGCGCGAGTTAACTCGTCGTAGCCGGGACGAGACGGGTCGTCCTCGCAACTCGTATTCTGTTCCCAGACAGACGTAGCTGAAACGCGTTCCGGCTTAATGTCTCCAAGCTTCGACGGATTATTTCAGGAATAGAGTAAACGAGTTTACGAGGTAGGAATACGCGGGCAAAAGGGACCTTTCAAGGATGCGAGTAATCGAGTTAATACGTTAATTTTGTCGATTATGCGTGGCCGTGTTGCGGTTATTCCAGTGCTCGACACTCCGGGGGGTGTCGGGCTCGTCCTTCGCTCAGGGACGCATTCTTACGCGGAGCGGAGCTTGCACGATGCACCAGAGCGTCGCGGCAATCGCGGAATCACCGGTGAAATTAATTCGAACAGTTCGATGCTAACCGAGAAACTAATTTCGCAAATGGCACACGGGATCCTTGCGGCTACCGCTTTGGCAAACGCTCGAAGCGTTGGCAAACGTTGCTACGTGTTTCGAGGTCGAGTTACGCGCCGCTAACTCTGCCCAACGCTACCCTTCCAAACTGATAAGGAGAAAATCCTAGGAACCATTCCCAGATCGTTTTCCCGACCCGTTTTTCGACATCGGTTCGACATCGACCATCGAGGCAGACATGTCTGGTCGGGTACTCGGTAGAGAGCCACGTAAAAGACACGGAAAGAACTGCGGCAATGAGAGCCGGTAATATGGAGGACGGTGTACAGGAGAACTCGCAGGATCGGACGCGAACGTTCGCCCCTGGGCCGTGTGTGTCGGGGGTTGCGAGCCGTGTCAGGATCGAGGGTAGGCGGCCGACGAACCGAGGGAGGCCGATAGACAGGGATGAAGGGAGAGAGGCTCGGCGGGAGAGTCGTACCGGGGGAAGGACGCCGGGCGTCGCGGCGCAGCCTGCCGCACCCAGCAAAGCGCCTGCTCCCCTTGAACCGGCAAAACGTATACCTGACGCAACCGAGGAGACGACGAACGCGCGTCGTTCTCGCGACACGCTGTTGCTAGGCGCTCATTTTCCAGCCTCGATTTCGTTTCGGCAACTCGCCCCGCTGTCCAACGACGCCGTCCATCCGCTCGTGTTCCGCGGACTTCCGACGTCGAAGCCAAGGTCACGACGCGTTTACGTACCACGAAACTCGCGAATCCGAAACGCCGTTCCGTCGACCTTTGCCCTCCGGTGCTTCCCACTGTGTTCGTCCCCAGCTGCGACGTTACCTGGCTCTCCTGTGAAGTTCCCCAGTTGTTCTTGTGACACTACGCGGATTCGAGTGCGGTTCCGAAGAACGATAAGGGTAGACGAGGCGCATGGAAGGGGCGAGTTAGGAGTCGTCGAAGGGAACCAGGGACTGGTCGGTGTGGAAAGTTGCACGGAGTGCGAAGAGCCGTAAGAGATCGCGGTATCGGCACGTATGCGGCAGGAAGTAGCCGAAGGTGAAGTACGAGCTAGTGGGTGGGTGACGAGGAGGAAGATTTCGAAGCGCCGTGTCAAGGTTGCACGACCTTGATTCGGTCAGTGACACGAGCTATGTCTCGCAAAATCGAGCGCACGCCGGTATCCGTGCGCGGAGTACGCGTGCGGGGTCACTAGCCGTTTCGGATTTTCACCAAGACCTCCACTTTCCGCGCGACGCGTTTTTCCGCCTCGCCGATCCCCATTTCTCTCTCTTTCTCTCTATAGACCGTGGTGTCCCGACAGTGTTCCGACCGCTTATTCCGATCGTCGTGGCTCGTAAATTCTTCCGCGCTACCCCAAAATCGCAGCAGAGACATGTCCCCGTGTTCCCCGAGAGTTCCTCCTCCGTGTCCCGCGACTCGTATAATTTTAGAAACGGCCTTAATCCTCGTTTCGGGACTCGTCGAGCTCACGAGATCGGAGTAAGTTGGCGATCTCTCAGTTTCAGGGACTCGACTTCCGCGATATTTCTTCCAACCGGAAAACGCGTTCGGGAATATTTATGAACGATTACCGAGTCGGCCGCGATCAAATACGCTTCGCTCCCCCATGCCGTTTCGCTTCCCTACGCTTGAACATGGATTAATCTAATAGTCGTTCGATCCAGCGGAACCCCTCTGAATTTCATTAGCACGATCGCCCGTTATCTTCGAGCACACGCACACCCATCGACGAGGAAGAAAGACCATTTTCACCGACACGTAGAAAGCGTTTAGCATCGCGAAAGCGTTCGCAGAGCTCGCCGGCTAATTACCGTACCAACGGGAATAACACTGCGGTGGTCGGCTCTGCGGAGACTGCAGACAGACGTGGGTGGTGTCCATCTTGAAATAGATTGCATACCTTACCGGGAGTCGTGCAGGCTTTTTCACCAATTAAATCTCTCTCGTCCAGTGAGCCGCATTCCAGCCTGGCTGTACGTTTTTCGAGAGCATTCGTTGCTTCCAATCTATCATCCACCCTTTCCGATCTTCCCTTAGTCCGTCAGATCAGACCGTGAAAGAGTTCTCGGGAACACCTTCGCGTTATCCATGTTCCCCGGGAAACGGATCGCTCGTCGTTCCCCGAGATCACCACCTCCACGGGGAGGTACAGACCTCCACCGACCAGTTCCGTGTTTACATTCCGTTCCGGCGGATTTACGCGACAGAACTGCGGTGTCTGCGGTCAGGCTTAGGCGGTGGCCCAGCCTTTGGGATAGGTTAGGTTCCTCCTGGTAGTCGTGCACGCGAGATCCTTATCGGTTTCGGGAGTTGCTCGCAAATCGGGCAACAGGAGCTTCCGACGCTTGGGAAGACGAGGCAACGTCTTCCAGATAAGAACACCCGTATCTACCTTCCCGCCATGCCTCGCGATAGAGGACATTAAGCCGGCTTTTCCGCTTCCCCCGGGGCCAGTGGAAAGAACTCGGGAAGGGTTCGTTTGAAAGCGATTATCTTAGTGGGAGATAATTGTTTTCAAAGCGCGATGGTTGTTCAGAGTGATCGAGCAACAGCGGGGCAACCGTTCGACGAAGGATCGAGTCGCGGAGGACAGATCGGTAGATCCCGTAGGTCAGTTGATCGAGAAGCAACGGGATAAAATTTTCCAGTGCATCCCCGGTGCGTGTGTTTCCGGCGGCGATATCGATTCGAAAGTGGCGATGCAGCGAATGCACCGGAAAGGGAAGAAACATCGCCGGTGAACGAGGAAGCAGCATCGAGATCCCATCGAATCCTGTAGCGACGCTCTGAATCCTACCAACACCGGAAGCGATCGTTTTGCTTCGAGAAATTCATTCTCTCGCTCTCTTTTCGCCTGCTTTTTTCCATCGTCGGGAATCCGTTCGATAAGATCGCGTGGATGCCGTCGCGATAGCGAATCAACAGTGAAAGGAACAGAACCCGAACTCTTCCGTCCACGAGTATCCGTTTTTCCCCCTTGCTCGCGAGTATAAGTTGCCGAAGAAGTGTTCTACCTCGCCGTGCCGATGAAAACAGTGACTAGTGGTGGGTGGTGATCAGTGACCCACCGTTTCGAATGAAGAGGTTTTAGGATGATGGTGGAGCGTGTCGAGGACCATCTCTTCATGTATCGACGTCCCGTTTACCGGGTCTTCCAGTACCTCGAAACCACCGAGTAAGTACACGAAGAAAAAGCATTTCTCTACGGCGCCACAATGATCGTGTTTACACTCGTATAACGCGGTACCGAACGCGATCGTTCCGAACTGCTTTCGTCTGGGCTCGGAAAGCTCTCGGAACTGCGAAGCAAAGGTGCGGGCAAAGGTGAAATTGCATATCTCCCGGCATAGAAACGAATCGAATCGAATCGAATCGAATCGAATTGAATCTCCATAATAATGTGCGCGGAGAGCTTTGGAAAAGTTTGCCCGGGGGTTCGAGGTGGTTCCGGCTCGTCTCTCCTTAGGAGCGCCGGGTATCCAGCTGTTAGAATCTTCGGAACCACGAAACAGCCGTTTAAACAAAGGGGTTGGCTCGTTTGAAGAGCAGCCAATGGCAATTTGCGTGCATAAAGCCTTTGCGAGTCCCTCTTCCAATTCGTGAATGGAGGAAAACGCCGCGAGGGTGGTTCAAGTGGGAGTAAGGGAGACATGGGAACAGAGGCGGTTTCGCGCGGAAACAGCTTCTTTTTTCGTACACCGTGTTACGTCGATGGTAACGGGTTACCATGGCGAAATTCCCATCATCGACCACGGACCTCTCGGTAACCGTTGCTAATTGGGGCTGTTAGGTAAGCTTCGATAGCGCCGATGCGCGGCCACTGTCGTCTCGTTTCCATTCGCCAACTTTCCGATTCTTTCGGGATTAAATTACCCGTGTATCATCCACGCTCTGCGACGTGATGAAAGAAAAAAGAAAATCGCACACCGTCGCTATATCGGCGTCTCTTCCACCCTGTTCCTCACCCGCGATCTCTCCAACGACCACCGCTCTGCATTATCCGATATAAAGTTTTATCATCGGGCGTCTGGCGAAATGTCTCTGCGTTTTTCCCAACGATCAAGAGCAATACTCGTCGCGAGGGCATTCTTCCCCGCTGGCCGATCCTATAAAAGTCGCGTAAAAAGCCGCGTGCTTGATCAAATTGCAGCGGAAAATTCGCCTCGCGCGATAGTTACGAAGAAGCCACGTGGTCTGGGAAATGAGAAAAGTTTGGCCAGAATTCGAGCCAGAACTCGCCGGTCGGACCGTACCCTAAGAAGTTTCGGGAGACGTCTGCGATGCTATTCACAAGTGGCTCGCTACCTGGTTTTACTTAGTTTCGAATCACGTTCGCTCACCGCGAGAGCTACTTAAACACCGATATCCTCCGCGAAAGTAATTCCTTTGTTCCCTCCGAGTCGTCGGGATTCTTTCACCGTGGAAATTAAAACGATACGTGAAATAGAAACGAAAATCGAGGAACAAAGTCACGCGTATCGAATAAATTCGCTGGAATCTCGTTAAACGATCTTCGTTGCCTAAGTAGGATAGTAGAACGAGTCTCATTGTTCGAGAATTGTTTGAAAATCGAGCCGGTCTTGCGGCGCGGTCGAGGTTCAACGAGCTTTTAAGCCCCGAGAGTCGTAATTTTAGAATCTAGAAGGACCACCATCGTCCAACGTCTGGCTGGCCTAGCAGGATCTACGAGCTCGGGATCTTTGGAGCAGAACGTCGACATTCGTTCTTATGCCACGTATCGAGCAACCTGGCCGCATCGGATAGCCCCGAATGAGCTTCAAATTAATTGCCAGGGTCCCGTGCGAATTCTCCTATTTAACGAACATAACCGCGTCGAGATTGTCGGGGAGCAAGAACAAGTTGCAACGAAATTGGCCGCGTGATAGCGTGTCTTCCATTACTCTACCTCGACGCTCGTCTTTAATACGATTAACGAGTTTTTCAATGGAACCAGCTGGCAGTGATCGAACAAAGAGTGAATCATCGCGCTGGGATATCTATAATAATCTTCGCTGCATACGTAGATCCTAAATCGAACGCGCAAACTTTGACGTCTGACCGATTTTATAATCTAGCTATACTTCTGCATCTATTAAGGTTCGCCTTTTAATCTCTAGCAGATTAAGTTACGCAACATCTGCACCGATTAGTATACATTATGCATGCGGATCAGGCTCTGAAATGGATGAGAATTGTACTATATATATACCTCGTGCTATATCTCGCGAACACTGGAACCAGCGAATCAATCAAAGCGACTGGTTCTAGCCTTCTCGTTTTTACTGCTACCGACTACGGTACAGTTACTTTCGATAAAATTAACGTTGACTTTTATCGAGATAAAAACCTAATCGAGACTAGCTGGCCGAGAACTAAGCTTCTCGGGAAAAAATCTTGCTCTTTATTTTCCGCGTTATTTTTCCACGTCGAATCATCCCCTTCTTTGCTACACCTTGCTCCTTCCTGCAGCCTCTATAATACCTAATTATCTTTATCGTACCGCGTTAATTATTATTATCTATGTATACCATATTTAGGTACACGCTACAGGTCGGTAGTTCTTGCGCTAAAGGGTAATCGACTCGAGTGCAAAGGCACCTCGAAGCACCTGGCCAATGATGAGTGCTCTTCTTCCGGGTTAAGCATCGCTCGTCAGGCCTCATGGAAGGATAGGGGTAACCATCGACATTTTTCTCCAATAATTCCACTTAACCCTCCATCGTCTGATTTTTTCGCCACGTTCCAGCGGATCAGAGCTACGCTAGCAAACAAACACGGTGACCAAAAAATATTCGACGTCGAATAAAAATACCCACCCTGTTGTGGTCAGTCAGTGGTGGGTCTCCATTTGGTGTCACTTTTTTCACAATTCTTCCTGCCGACTACTGCAGGCACGCTCCTGCGGGTTTCCTTCCGGTTCCGGGCTAATTCTCGGTGTCCACTCTGGGATCAATGGTGGAAAATGATCGGTCGGTCACCTCAAGAGCTTTTCCCCTTCGGCGATATCCCCAGGCATAATATCCCATCCTGAAATCGAAGCTCGAAACAATTTTGTCCACATTCAAGGAAGACTACCCCTATACATCGTTTGGAATTAGATGGAATTCTAGCAGAACTGGATTTTCCAATAAAAGGAGAGGAATCGTGGAACTAGAAAGGCTTCTAAAAGCGAATTTCTGCAACAACTGCGAAGAAAGGGAAAGATAGGAAAGAAGAGGGACGTAGATGTAACACAAGAGACAAAGAAGGTTTCAGATGAGGCAACCACAAAGTTACCAATGTGGAACGATATCGAAATCGCAATGCAGATGCAACTCGTATCCCATCTCCTTGATTACACATCGTGGTACATTGGGGAGATCGATCCAACTAGATCACCGACCGCGTTACACCTGCCGTCGAGTTGTACGAGTGTATCGACGCGTCTAGATTTCAGGCTGTCAGGAGAATACGGTAGTCGGAGCCTTTTTCTCGCCTGCCGATGAAACGCCTCGGTGAACCGCGACTGCTCGTAAAGATGCAGATCCTCGTAAAGTTCGCTGTATCGCGAACTCGAGTGCACCCCGTGGATTATTTATTCCCGCCGACTATTGTTAACATTCTATCCTTCGGCTAAATGCCATTAAACACCGCTAGCTCGTTGTCCCGTGGAGAACCTTTCACGCCGCGGCCCGATCGCGTTGCGAGACCTGTCCTACTCGTATTCTCCTCGCCGGTATTCTCGATGCCTCGCATTCCCGGTCCTGCACCTGGTTTCCGCGTTGTGCCTCTGTGCCCTAGTCACCGAAGATAGCCCATCATAGCGACCTCTCATCCGCTCTTCGAGAAACGAAGCCACTTTGCGTAAAATCTCCGACCCATCTGCGTCGCATCTACGTCTATCTCTCTGTCCCTCGTTGGGGGCACAATCTCGGTGACATAGAAACACCCTGGCACGAAGAGGATTCGAAGACCCCATAGGGGTAGAAAGGAGGAAGCAGAAGAGATCGCGATCGAGTTTCGTGGAGGCGAAAACATCGAATGATCGACGTCTCCAGGCAGTCTGACTGCTCGATCGCGAGTCGGCCTGGAGCAGCCGATCACCCTGTTTATTTGCGTCGTAGGAATTGCGCTAGCGACGCGATTTTTCATCGACGTCCCACGCGTTCGAGTCAGCGAACACACAAACGCAGGAGAGAAAGAACGAGTGGACGGAGAAAGAGAGGAGAGGAGAGAAGAGAGAACGGCAGGTTGTCCGTTCGTCGATCAGTTTCTGGCCGACGTCGTGGCAGCGCGTACACGTATATAGACTCGGGCGTCTAGTCGCAGAGGAATCGGGGAAAATTTGGCGGATGGGGCGCGACTGACGGGGTGAATCGGGTTGCCGGTTGGTCGAAGCCGAGTTTCATCTTCGCGGTGGAAAATTTCCGACGCTGGATTTTCGCATCGAAAGTCGCGCGTGTTTCCCAGCGGGGCCGAAAAACTCGCGAGAGCGGGCTCGGGCCGTTGAACCAGCCGGCGCGAAATTAAAATCGCACGCGATGGCCGCCCCTCGTCTCCCGACCTAACGTCGCGGCTATATTTCGAGACCGCGCGGAGGCTGGCCCCGGCCAGATGTAATTCAATTTCGTAAAACGAGACCCATGCGATCGTTTCGACACAGTTCTCCCGCGTCTCGATCACCAGCATCGATCACGAGGATCGTGTGGACACCGCGCGTACAAACCGAGCCGTGCACCTGGGAATCGAGTTACCACTGAACGAGAGAAGGTAGAGGGACGACGGATAGCCGGTGACTATGACGAGGAGACGTCTAGATCGAGCAGAGTTCGCGAGGATACCGGTAAAACGATCCACCGTTCTGTCGCAGAGGTTCCAACGGCGATCCCTACCGCGGCAACTGCTTGCTATTCGATGACACGTCTAGCCAACTGATTGTCAGTCGACGGACAACCCGTGTCGCAGCCTAGGTAGATAGATAGACGGATAGATAGATAAATAGATAGATAGGTGGATAGATAGAGTTCTCGTTGGATGAGCCGCGCGTGACTCGGAGGGACACTCGGAGACTCCGGAAGGAACATGTTGGAGCTGGTGGAACGGAAGGCTAGCGGGATCTCTTGGCCGAGCTGTCGCGGCCAAACCCTGGAATCGTTCGGCAAAGATCCCAAGGGGATCTTCTTTCTCCGACGAGACAGAGCTTGCCCGCGGGAGAAGCGATGGAAAAGAGAGAACGGGGGTCTACTGTGCTCCCTGGGGCAGCTGAGATGCAACGACTCCTACACCCCGGACACCCTAGGCACGTGGAAATTTCACAGGGTGTCTCGGCCGAGGTAAACTGCGAAAAAGCAATTGAGGGGGCAGGGGAGGGAGTGGAAGACATACCTCTTGGAGGAAGAGGTGGAGGATTTTGCGTCATCGAGTCCCACTTGTTCCGTCCTCGCGGTTCTTACGCAATTAAGATTCCTCCGTGTAAGCGGAGACCGTCGTAGATCGTCCGGCTTCCGCGAAACGGGTCGGTGACGATTAAGCCTCGAGATTTATACCCGTGCTCGCGTTTTTTCGCCGCTCGTAATAAGCGATGGGGACACGCGAGCCTCGTTACGCCTGTGACGATGCAAAAGCGCAATAGAGAAAGTAATAGTGAAAGGTAAAGTGCGTGGGCGACAGTCGCAGGTGCGTGGTGGTTCTGCTCGCGCCGAGTCGAGTCGCTCCGCTCCGCGCCGGGTCAGGGACGCACTCCGCGTATCCTCTCTCTTTCTCTTCCTCCTTCTTTCATCCCCCTTTTTACACTACCGAGACCACCCCTCGCCGCGACAAATTATTCCGCTTCCTCTCTCATATGCCCCGGATTTCTCGCTGCAATGCGCCACCTTGAAAACAGGAAAGGCTTTCCAACTAGAGTACGTAGCCGCGGAATCGATACGTTCTCCGGGGTTCCTTGGTCTCGCTCGAATAATCGATCACGACGACTCTCTCCGTTTAAAAATCAAAGGGAAGAATTCGAAATAACGCGTGGGTATTTCTCGGTTTTGCATAGACGGGGACGATCATCTCCGCTCCTCGTCGAACAACGCGTCGCGACTTTCGTCTCGAGTCCTCTTCTTTTCTTCTTCTTTCTCGCGACGTTCCACGATATTCCACGACGAACAACAAGTCGCGGTCGGTGTTCGCGCTTTGTAGCCAACGATCCGGAAGCTATTTAATATGTCGCGCGCAATTGAATTAATTCGGCCGATTTAGCCATCCGCGAAAACGCCGGGAAATGAATATTCATCGCGGAGCGAAAACTGGCCGGGTGGCTGTGCAATCGTCCCTCGTTGTGTCCCTCAATTTTCTGCAGAAAGATTCCTCCGGCCGATGCCGCGGCATTTAACAATTATGCTCGTTGCGCAACGCCCTGTTCGCCGTTACGTTGCTCCAAAGTGCAACGTGCATTAAAAGGCCCAGCGATTGCAGCCGGTCTGTTCTCAGCGATAATCGTTCGCGGATCATCGACTCGAGTTTCCGCAAATTCGAGACTCGAACGGTACCGCGGGATCGGCATGGCGTTGCTCGAATAATAAATACACGCTTTGGGCCTCCAGTCCGTGGTGTCAATGAACCTCCACCTCTTTCGCTTTTCTTCTTCCTCCAGAGGTTCTGGGTATTCCAACCGTTCGATTTCGTCGAAACGAAACTTCGAATAGTCCGCTCTGTTCGAGTTACTCGATCAACGAGGATCGATGGTCGTGGCGATGTAGCCGCCATAAGCATCCCCAGTTCGTCAGCGGGTGGTGCGGAAAGTAGCATCGCGTGTTCCTAGACAGACCCCTGATTCCTATTCGCGGTGATCCTTCCCACTGTCCAGTATGCCAGTCGAATAGCTGGTGGTTCTCGGCATAAGTGTTTCGTCCCTGACCGACGGCCGTAATATACATTTGCATTAATAGCAGCGATGCAAACGCACACCTCGGCTGGGCCCGCTCCGCGGCCTTTCCGCGCGTCAGCTTTCCGAAGGAAGTCGACGCTCGTAATATACATTTGCATTAATAGCAGCGATGCAAACGCACACCTCGGCTGGGCCCGCTCCGCGGCCTTTCCGCGCGTCAGCTTTCCGAAGGAAGCCTCGCGGGTAGCGGAAAGTTAGGGAAAACGCGGAAACGAGACTCGTTTCCGGTATATCCTCAGCCGCGGAGGCGAGCCAAACGCGAACCGGAAGCGGAGAACCCTCTCGACCTCGAGAGCGTACCGGAAGCTGCGAATCCTTTCAAGCAGACCCGGCGAGACCCGACAAACGGTTTCGAAACGCGCGACGAAACCACTCGCCTTTCGATCCATTAACGTGCTTGCATTTTCCAAAGCGTCGCTTCTAAGTACCCTCTGAATGGCTTCGCAACGCGGTGATTGAATGATAACCACGTGAAATCATCTTAATATAGGTCTCTCTCCCGCGATCGTGGCTACCCGCGAGGCAGGCGGGTTCAACTCTCAAGCTCTTTCGGCGCGATCTCAGCGGGAGGAAGCGCGTTAAGCTGCTCGGTCCGCTTGAAAAGAGTCGCGGGAACTCGGTTTCAGAATCGAGCCAGGGACTTCCGTGAATGCCCCGGCTCCCTACCTCCAGATGCACGCGTCCCGAGCAGCCTGAATCGGTAACTATGTAAGCGCAACGCGCGGGCAAATGTGTCAGAAGGCCGGCACTCGGGAGGGTGTAGATGTGAGACGCTGAATGGGGATGCGGTGGCGTGCAGACACGTGCAAGCAGCTTTTCAAAACCCGTCAGCGTTCACGCTACGCGAAATTTCTATCGCCACCGTCGTTCGACTCAGCCCTAACCCCGCGCTATAGCCCGTGACCCTGCCGGAGGTTAACTCTTCCTCTGTCTATGGGTATTCTTTCGAGCGGAAAAAATCTCATAGAGGTACCTCGCCGCTATTCCAGAGGCGGCTCTTATCGCGAACTTTAGAAAATATCCTCTTTCGTCTGGCGATGCGTTAGGGTCTGTCTACTAGGCTTTGTCTGATAGACCCTGTCTGACAGGGTGACCTGGGACCGTCACAGCAGGCGGTATCTGTCAATAGATAAAGAGACGGTGCAGGATCATCGGCAAACGCCAACCTGCTGGGACCGAGCGAAAGCTGGCAGCTCCGCCTCCTCGTGGGCACCGCTGGTAACGAGTCTCCAGGTTGCTAGATAACCCGGAGGCTCGGCCAAGTGAGCTGCCCCCCGCAAGATTAGGTCCAACTTGATCAATGATCCTTTAACGGTGGGGCGAGGGCAGGATTTTTCCAAATTACGCGTTCAACACCTACACAAGCGTGCTGTCGCAGCAGTGACACTAGAAAATACAGTAACATCTCTTTCGCGAAGCCGGTATAGAGCTTAAGTCCCATCGGGCGAGCCTCGTGATCGCGCACAATACTCGTCTGACAGGGTACTCGCGATAGACCGCAGACGGTAATTCGGACCGCGTCCGAGACGAAGACAAACGGATGAGGCATTTTATTAGGTCATCACGCATGACGTCATCGATGCAACCTTTCTCCGGGAAAATGTCGGCGATACGATTCGTCAACGAGACCTGCATGATTCAGTGCCCGCGCGCGGATATTATCGTGCGGATTTTAATCCGTCCGATAAGAACCGTCGCCGAAGTGTCTGACAGTTCGGTGACCATTCCTGAATTACACGGGTGGCTTCGTCCGAGTCCAAAACGAGGAGTGCGATATGAACAGGAGGGGCATGGTGACTAGTGAACGAATCCTTGCTCTGTGCTTTTGCATCGCGGAGAATCGGTGTACGTCGATTGACAGCTCGCGTGGATCTGCTGGGAACGGTTCGGTGAACGATCGCGATTCCTCGATCATTCTCACGCGAAATCTTTGTTAGTAAGCATCGAGAGATATTCGCTATGGTTAACGTTACCATGGGTCTCTGATTAAAATTGGAATCTCGATACCGAGAGGAGAAAAGAAAATCGCGGTAACTCCGAAAGCTTTCGTAACTGAGCATGCCAACGGGGAATTACCGTGTACGTTGTTTAGAGTACAAGTTTCTTTGCTTGTCGAGCATTATCCGTGCCTCGTCGACGAGGAAATACGCGCTGGAGAAAGGTTTCAGAAGAAATTCTTTCCTCTATGGTCCGATGAATAATTAATCTTCTCGACGCAAAGCTTGCACGTTAGTTGACTAGTGCGAGTCGAGGTTTTATGAGATAATGCATAATTGACGCGGTCGTTGCCGCGTCGTCGACTATGCCGGCTTCTTTACCATTTTCTTCTTTTTTCTCCTCTCCATTTTCCGTGCAGCCATGAGGGGATGAGCACTGGCGTGGGAGATGGAGCTGGAGGCGGCGGTGGTGTGCAGGGAAGCGGCGGAGGCAGGAGTACGCCGCCCCATGGATCGCCCACCCCCATGGACAAGGCGACTCTGAAGGTCCATCTGCCTAAGGGTAAATTTCCGCAGTCATCTCGTGCAACGTGCTACTCAAAATAATTGGAAAGACGCTCTTGCGAGACCGATGAAATATCCGGGACAATGGAGGCGTTCTTTCTCCGTGAAGGATGTACGTTCTGCCTGATGAAAATCGTTAAAATCGTTTCTAGGTGGTTTCAACGTTGTGAAATTCGGAGACGCGATCGACGTGAGGGGTATCATCTCTCTGGTAACTAGTCGACTAGCAGCGGGAACCAGGCACTACCGGAACCTCTATGCCATGAGACTGCATCACCCTGGATCGGGGGAGAGCTACTGGTTGCACCAGGACACGACCATGTATCAGGTACGCGTTTTGATGTCACGGGAAGAGATACGGTGTCGTTTTTATTGCCAACAGTTTAATCGAAAGTGGAACGTATCTGTCAGGTTCAAGAGAAGTACGAGAAGAAGCATCCTCACTGCGAGTGGAGGTACGAGCTGAGGGTGCGGTACTTGCCACAGAATCTAAACGACCTGTACGAGAAGGACAAAGTGACCTTCTATTACTACTACGACCAGGTATGTCGAAGTATCAACGTGGATCGAATGATTCCTCGACTTTATACGGTCGAGCAGCTGTAGGATTTAATTGCTTGTCCCGTAGGTTCGAAACGATTACCTCTGCGCGAACCACGCAGCACTCGATCAAGACGTGGCGGTGCAATTGTGTTGCTTGGAAATTCGTTACTGGTTCAAAGACATGCCACAAATGGCCATCGATAAGAAGAGCAATCTGGAATACCTAGAACGAGAGGTGAGTAACACGTCGCGATTGCGAAAATCACTGGTCTCTTCGCGAATCTCCCGTAAAAACGTCGCTTTCGATTCGCAGGTCGGACTGCACAAGTTTTTACCACGATCCGTGTTAAATGGAATGAAACCAAAGGCACTGCGTAAACTAATACAACAGCACTTTAAGAAGGTTGCAGCATTGACAGAGCTGGAATGTATGTTCAAGTTCTTTGATCTTTTGCGTGCGCATTATAGATTCGACCAGGAGAGGTTTATATGCGCTTTAGGGGTGAGTTGATCGAATAGTAATTCCTTCTAATGTTCGTCATAGTTCAGAATTGTTTGTACTTTGTTGTTCTGCATTGTAGTCAAGCTGGTCTATACCTGTAGAACTAGTCATTGGACCAGATTTAGGCATATCCTACATGGCTCACAGAGGAGGAACGGTGGTACGTATCCGATTAATACACTGGACGAGAAAATCTTACTCCTCCTATCGGTAATATTAAATCTTTTATAGCCAACGAGAATGGCAGAGTTTTCCCAGATACAATCTATTCAAACGCTTGTATCCGACTGTAAAGAACACGCGAAAGCGTGTATTAAATTAAGAGTAGCTGGAGCGGCGGAAACGCTTAGTATAACTTGCTCGAGTTTAGATCAAGCAGAAAGTCTTGCGGACTTAATCGACGGATACTGTAGGCTTGTTACCGGAAGCAGCACCTCGTTGTGGAACAGAAAAGGTACGATAGTGTCTGAATAAAATTTGTTAAGCAGCCGTAAAGACTGGCATGCTCCAAAGAAATTGTTATCACTTGTCATTGAAACTTTAATCGTTTGTTTCTTTATCTTGATATTTATCCTCTTAGCGTGTTAGCTCAAAGCTGACAGTCTAAATGTTGATGCAACAAACGTTTCCTTTAGCTTTTACTGGCATCCGTGATAGTGTTCAAAGAACTATAGAGACTTGTTTTATTTATAAACGTTGCAGAACGTTTAGTTTCATTGTACTTTCATGATAAAATCATATTTCACACCCCAAATATCTCGCACGAATCCCTTTTACGTTATATACAAGGTACTAAGTTATAATCGTTTACACTTCCAAGCTGCATCGTGGAAAAACTATCCCTGTCCATGCAAAGGTTTGTAGTTTTGAATGATCCCGTGCCGTAGTTTACTGTCTCGTCTAGAGTAACTGCATGAAAATCACGACTGATTTATTCACGACTATTAATTATATTCTTCGCTTTAATATAGACGCTCATCCACCAAAATATAGGCAAGACGGTTCCAATAGTCCAGAGAAAAACGTAAGCAAAACCGGAACTATTTTGTCGGAAGACTATGCGGAAATCGTAGACGAGGAAGGAGATTACTCAACTCCAGCTAGTAAGGATAATTTAAAAAGAAAAGTCAAAAATAAACCTATCGTTGTACCTGCTCTTTGTACGAAAAAATTGACCAAACCTTGTTCGTTGATAATTTTAGCTAGAGATTATGAAATAGTCAGAAATCAAGTGGAACTGGGTGAAATTATCGGAGAGGGCCAGTTCGGCAATGTACATAAAGGTTCATATAAAGGACGGGACAATCAAATAATACCCGTGGCAGTGAAAACCTGTAAAGTCGATGCAGATCTCGCAACTTCTGAAAAATTTCTCGAAGAAGCTTGTAAACATATTTCTTTCCAATCTAATTGACAAAATAAAAATAGAGTGTGAATAACGTGTAAATAATATTTGTTTAAAATTTCAGATATAATGCAGCAGTTCGAGCATCCTCATATCATAAGACTAATAGGCGTATGTTCGGGAGCACCGATATGGTTAGTGATGGAATTAGCCAAATTGGGGGAGATGCGAGCTTATTTGCAATCGAACAAACACCGTCTAGACCTCGCCACTCTTTTACTTTACACGTTCCAATTAAGCACTGCCTTGTCGTATCTTGAAAGCAAGAAATTTGTGCATAGGTAACTGATAAAGAAACATTATTGTTTAAAAGCAAATTTGGTCATTATTTTACTATAAATGTCTATCAATTTTTTTATAGAGACATTGCTGCAAGAAATGTACTAGTCTCCGCGCATAATTCCGTAAAATTGGCGGACTTTGGTCTTAGTAGATGGGTCGAAGATCAAAGTTATTATACAGCAAGTAGGTGTAAATTGCCTATTAAATGGATGGCACCGGAGAGTATTAACTTCCGAAGATTTACAACGTCTTCTGACGTGTGGATGTTTGGTCAGTTATTTAGAATGAATAGTAATGGTCTCTACCATCTGGGATGTATGTAAAATATTTCGTTTTCGTTCCTTCAGGTGTATGCATGTGGGAAATTTTAATGTTAGGTGTAAAGCCGTTTCAAGGTGTAAAAAATAACGAAGTGATTCGTAAACTAGAAAACGGAGAAAGACTTGCACTACCGAATCATTGTCCTCCACGATTATATTCTTTGATGTCTCAGTGCTGGAGTTACGAGCCCAGTAAACGACCAACGTTTAAAGAAATCAGAGAAACCTTGCAGTGTGTACCATTTTATTTATTTTTGATACCTTCCTCGGAAGTTTTTAGTTAGTTGCAACAAAATTATTATGTTGCAGTGAAATTTTATTGGAAGAGAAACATCAGCAACAAGAAACGATGAGACGAGAGAACAGAAGAGTACAAGCTATGTCTTGGGGTACGTAAAAGGAAAATAAAGGATAAATTGCATTTAAAGTATTCGAGATATTATGTGGGGAACGGAGCAGATAATCTTTCGTCATTTAGGCGCAGACGATGTACCACCACCAAAACCTTCGAGGCAACCGCAAAACACGACAGATCAATCTCAACTAACCGCCGCAGCGCCAGTTTCGACATATATCGTGGCGCAAAGCCCCGAGGTTCTTGCGCAACTTCTCAAGGATAATCAAACTAGGGGGGTATGTCCCTCGGTCTACACAACCCCCGCCTCGCCTTTCAATACCTTAGCTGTACAGTTTCAAGACGAAGATCAAGTCTTAACCACGGCCTTAGTTTCAGATTTACCCTTTTTCGATCCAGCCACCTCAGAGCCTTCTGCCTCTCACGACACTCACTCGGGAGATTCCACGTTGTCCGACACTAACTTAGACTCCCTTGACTCCTCGGACACTCCTCTCATGTCTAGCCTTAACATTTCAGACGCCACACAAGCTCAGTCCCCCGCTGCTAATAGAAAACAGCAGAAGGTTAAAGAGATGCAAAATTTATACGCAGTTAGTTCAAAAGTTGTTGGTAGCATTACTGGAGATTTGTATTCTCCCGTGCAGAAATTTACAACGTCCAACGCCATTACCGTTACAACTAGTGTGGCTACTTGTGGCGAAATATACGGGCCTGTTGCTAATTTTACGCAAAGTTCCGCAATTGTTGGTAATCTTAGTCAGAGTCCCAGCGTAGGTGGTAATTTCGGTGAAAATCCTGGAAACTTTGGGCCTAGTAGCTTGAATAGTATGGCAGGATTGAATAATCAAAATCAATCGTCGAATTTTGGCCAATTCTCTGCCAATAACCAAGGGTTCGGTGTTGTTCAATCTGTTAGCCAAAATTCCAGTTGCATAACAAATCCTGCCACTGCTGTCGTATATCCTCGAGTACCAAGTGTCAGTTCGGCTAGTGCTGCTATTCCTGTATCTAATGCGGAATGTTTATACGGACCAGTCCTGAAGTTCCGCGCGCAAAATATCCAGAACCAAAATGTATCCGATTTGAAATCCGTGAATGTATCAGTCGGATCTGCCATACCAAATCCGAGGAGCAATTTAACGCACACATCTACTTCAGGACAAAATCTACAAGCACAACCAATGCACGCCCAGAATTATCAGCATCAGCAAATTTATTCGAACATTAGTCATCCAGGAACACAGTCAATGTTCATGTCGCAGTCGCAGAATGTGCAAAACATTCAAAGACAAAATCCCATTCATCAACCTGTTTCTTACATCCCAACGCAACATACGAATCAGCAAAACCAAGCGACCGGTGCTAACCCAATCTACACGGCCCAAGCGACTTCAGTTACGGTAGTGCAAGCTCAGAAAGTACAGGGCCCTATATATGTGCAACAAATTCAAGCTGGAATTGCGAGTCACGTACCGAGTTCTCAAGCAATGAACGTGAATCAGCAATTATCTTTTGAAATAGCACAAAGTCATCCTGTTCAAGTGCATTTCGCCACATCAGGTGGCACTGTTCAACCAACTAATCAGCAACACATTTATCCAAGTACGTCCAACATGGTGATTGGACAACAGTCAACTTCTGTATCTGCTACACAGCATGGTCAAGCACAATGCAACATTACAAATCTGCCAGCAACTACGGCAAACGCAGTGCAATATTTAGCACAGCCAGTGATGCAGTCAGGAATCATAAGATCGAGTACTCCTCAAATAGCAACTGGTGTCGCGAAAATTACTACATTTGTAAGCCAAAAACAAGATGAACAGCTGACAAGCTCGACAGATGGTACACTCTCCGGATCACTGATATCTTCCGCTGTCAGTGATAGCACAATGTCATCGAGCAGTTCGATGACAGAGGAGGCACAGCAAGATCAGGTTTGGCAAAGCCTCCTAGGAATGACAATCGCATCCTCTATCTGCAACAGCATATTATTTTTATTTATAATTCGAAATTCTTGCAGCACCTTACTTTTGTTGCAAATCAAATGTATATACAATACATATATACATACATACATACGTACATACATACGTACATACATACATGCATACATGCATACATGCATACATGCATACATACATACACACACATATATATATATATATATTGCTTCTGGTATATGCAGATGCTCACGTGCTCGTTAAAATTCACACAATGGCCCTTTTCTTTCGTTTATACACAAACTAGATGATATTTTTTATTCATAACTGAAATGAATTTTATTTTGCAGTTTTGGTAGGCTAATCTTTTTGCATGAAGAATGGAGATATTATTGTCACTGTAACAATCTGAGCTGCATGTAATGAGTATGATTGCACTACTATTGTTCTAAAATTGGTTTTGCATCGAGAATTATGCATCTCTTTAATTTTATTATGTACATATGTTTATTAAACACGTTGAAACAGTAAATTATCCTAATGATTGCAAGCGGATCGATAGAAATAAAATGAATTTCCTTTTTTCAGAGAACCATACAATCGCAATTGTTCGATAGCATTACGGAGAATTTCAGCAGTGGTATTGACGATGAACAAAAATTGTTGGAACAACGACTTTTAGAACAGCAACGTCAGTCGGAAGAAGATAGTCGTTGGTTAGCAAGGGAAGAGGTAAAATTAATTATTTACATCTTACATAGTGATAATTAATCGTTCGTTTCAAAATTTTATTGGTACTCATCTCAATATTTAGAAACGCTTATCCATTGCAACGAGTGGAGACGAAAGCGCGAGTCCTCCAGTTCCCCGTTCAGTTACCCAGTCACCAAGTCATGAACAGCACAGTGCTAATACTGGTTCCATCGGTTCTGATAAGAGTACCGAAAAAGTAATCGTTGTAAAGGTAATTTATTTAATAATGAATAATTTTTAAATTAAATAAATAATGTTACAACAATTCATTTTATAGAAAATGGAACCTACACCAACTGCCGATCTCGATAGAACAAACGACAAAGTATATGATTGTACTACCAGTGTAGTTCGTGCCGTAATGTCTCTGTCACAAGGTATGAATCGTTATTTAAAAGGTTGAGATATCTTTAAATAATATTATAACAATGTTGCAAACATAGGTGTTCAACAAAGCAAGGCTGATCAATATTTGGAATTAGTGCGGAAAGTGGGTATTGAACTGAGAGCGTTACTTTCATCTGTGGATGCTCTAATGGATATATTACCTATATCTGCTCATCGAGAAGTAGAAATGGCGCACAAAGTTCTTAGTAAAGATATGGCAGAACTTGTAACCGCTATGAAGCAAGCTCAGAAATATAGCGCTACTACTTTAGATGCAGAATATCGAAAGTAAGTATTTCACTCAATAGATATTGACATGCTATGCATATAATAGATGAACAAAACAGTGTATTAAGAAATATAAAATATGATTTCAGAGGAATGCTATCAGCTGCTCACATCTTAGCAATGGATGCAAAAAATCTTTTAGATGTAATTGATTCGATACGCATTCGATATCCGTACGTAGATAACCAGATTTGCCAAAAGCAAAATCATATTAATACATCACAAGAGTCAATGCCAGAAAGTCGTATCCGATCCAGTCAATCTGGAGAACAATTTCTACGGAGAAGTCAGTCAAGTGAACGTCAAAGTACAACGTTCAGGCAAAGTCAAAGCGGTGATCTTTTACATAGAATGGGTCAATCCGTTGATCGTTCGTTACAGGTGAACTATGTCTCAAACTAAATTTTTATGTAATAATTAAATAACATCAGTAGCATTATTTTTAAAATATAATTTTCGATTTAGGGCAGCCAAACTGATGTTAGTAGCAGCTCTAGTTTAGAAAGAAGACATCATATTGTGACCAACAGCCTTGAACGTAATTCCACAACAAGAAGACAAATGACAACAAATAGTTTAGAAAGGAAAAGACCATCGTTATCTTGTAATATCAGCCCCATGAATAATTCCGTTAATCTGCCACCTATGGTACCAGTTACCTGCAATTTAGTTCAAACAGTTGGACCTGTCATTCATCCAAGTCAGACAGTTACAACAGGTATTAATCAACAGTCAGTGTTTGCACCTAATAATAAAACGACAAATGAAAGTGCAGCAACTGATAGCTAACAACGAGGTGCCTTGCATTAAGGTAAGTTGAAGTCATCTGTTACCTTAAGTATAATTTATCCGAAATCTCTCGTGCTCATTATTTAATTGCATCTGCTTTTATCAATTTCAGGAAAACTTCGAAAGAATAGTTCTATGTACATAGACTACATCGTACAAGTTACCCATTTATGTCTCGCGCATAACTCAGCAGCAGGAGATTTAGTATTTATGCTTTATAGCTCTTTTTAACATTTAACAAACTTTGTCTAAACGTACTTATAGATAAGACAGTATTCGTTACATGTAGTAGTAGAATAATTACTAAAAGGCATAAGTCACAGCTATAAAGAAATCACTCCAAAGCTTTAGAATTATTGTTAATTTGTTATTGTATGACAACCACGTACATGGGGTGACGCAAAAGGCTGCCTTAAATCTAAAGAATTGTAATTGTACGTAATTTTTTCTTGCATATACTTCAACATCATTGAAAATTAATTATATTAAGATTACTATTACAATACCATGATCCACCACTTTAGAGGTTGTCTTATTGCATCACCCTATAAGTAGTTGAATAATTCTATATATATATGCATATAGATATATTTATAAATATATATTTAAACAAATAGTTCAAAATATTATGCAAAAATTTAATTTCATATAAAACACAATCTTACGAAGTTGTTTTTGTGAATTTATAATTTAATAGTCTATTCCCTGCTAAGAGGAGTGATTATAATTGTAAAAAAATGGGACTGAATGTTATTTGTATTAGGTAATTATTTAGCAATTCATACCAATTTGTGAAATTTATATAAAATGTTTTATAAAAAATGAATCATTCTTCAGCGGCAAGTCAGTTCCTACAAAATATTTATAAAAATTTCATCTTTGCATAAGAATAGTATTGATAACTCGTCAACGCAATGCACTTATAAGGACCGTGCATTTACGAATCTATTAAATATTCCATAGATATAAAGTATTCCATTTTTATACATTTATTACTTTTTACGTTCCTGGGAAAATTTCGTTTCATATTAAATTAAAATTGTTTACAATGATGAAGAGATTTTTACATAGCTCGTTATGTTTCAACAATCGTAGTTTTGAATACTAATGTGCCAAGGTTATATAATACAAACAAATTTTGCTCCCACTACATAAAAAATATATAGTAACATTTTAATCCATTATCCCAGGAATTTGTAATTCACGATTACAGCATTTGACACTGCTATTGCATGGAAAGTTTAAGATATATTTTTTTTCTAGAATTATTTTAAGTATGTGTACATAAACATTTAAAATTTATGTCATTTAATAATAATGTTCATAATTAAGTATTATTTTTAATGAATTTTATTTTCCACAAATATTTTACTATGTGCATATGTTCAATTTTTTTTCACAATTGAAATTAACAATTTGTAGTTACATATTTATCAGAAATCCATTGTCTGTTTTCGTGGTGTATGTTTATTCTGTCTTCGATACTGTAATACTATATAAAATATACCCTTTGTTTTATAATTCCACGATATGTACACGATATGTAATTATCACATTATCATAATACCATGTAATTATCACAATACCATGACGAATATCATAATATATGACGATGTAATAAATTAAAGTAAAATGTTTTTGGGAAAAATTTGTCCTTTACGCAATACACGTCGAACAATTTTTAAAACTGTATACCATTGTCAAAAACGTGATTAATTAATTCTTGCATTTTTACAATATCTTTTCGGCAAATTTGTTCAGTTATTTATATATATATAAGTCAACTTAAATGTAATAAAAGCTTAATTTATTCTAGCTTTATAGCTAAAATTATTTTATAGTCACGTTATTCTCGATTTCGTAACTTATAATGAAATAATAAATATATGAACTATTTATAATTGTTAGTATACAGATCATTGTTCTCGAAAATATAAGATCGCAATTTCAATTCTTTTCAAAGAAAAAAAGGATGGGCAAAATATAGGTGCAGAAATAAAAATATTCTACCATCATTGATGCTGTTACTGTTATCAGTTAGGTAATAAAGACTAGAAATAAATACAATATGTAATATTTAAAAAATATTTATAAAATTGTGTAAATGTAACTATGTATTATGGCCACAAGCAACATAATAAACAGTAAGAATGATTTCAGCTTTATGAGTAATTTCAATTTACTATTTACCATGTTTAGAATTATAATACTTAATGCCATTAATAACTTAACACCTAGCATATTCAGTTAGAAGTGCACTGATATTCATTTTATGGGTTGTCAAATTCCTGAAACAAAAAATGATTTTCATGACAGACAAATTTCATGAATGTAATTTGTTATGTTAAATTCCATAAGTGTAAATCAGCTTCTGTAAAGACTGTTACTTCTTTTATCATTGTTAAGTTATTCCATATATAAGATAAGGGTAATACTGCTTAAATAGTCTCTTTTTGGTTCCATTTCTGTATACAAACATGTACAATTTAAAGATTTTACTTATATGTGTTATCCATAAATTCTCACACAAATTTTAATTTACTTTCTGGTGTACCAATATGCAATAATTACATGAAATGTTTGTATTCAATTACAGAAGAAGCAACAAGAAATACTTTCACCAAAGTTTTACAATATTGTCTCTCATTATATCAATAATATTATAACTTATTATAGCAAATCATAAAATTCATTTAACATAAAAAAAAAAAATTGTATACAAGTTACTTACCTCTTATTTTACCTACTAAATATTCATCAAGCTTTAATAACTTTACTTTCTTATAGGTATCCTGTTCTTCTACAGAATATAAAATTTGCGTTACATTTCGTAAATCAGATTCTTTAACACCAGCTAATTCTAAACTTTCACGCACTTCTTCTATTGTCCTTAAATACCTACAAAAACAAAAATCAAAATGTGACAAATAAAAATACTGAATTAAATATCTTTTGTATTTATTTGTACATGATATCTTGTGAAAATATAAAAATAGTATACAAGATATTGAACATTCACCCACAGTTTATAGCTTCCATTGTATGAAACTTCCAACAGTTGCAGGTTAATGTTATGAATTATCAAAAGTTACCAGAAGATAAACTTATTCACATAAATTAGCATTTATATAAAAAAATTGTGAAAATAAAACTCTTATATTAAAGTGTACATTTTACATTTCTACGCGCCAATCTTCTTTACCCAATCGTAAAATAAATCAAAGTAGAGATGGAGTAGTAGTTTCGATTTATCGAGAACTATGCAATATCGCCAGCAGCCATATTAATTGTTATTGCGCTTATCAGGAACATTTATTGTGATCAAAACGTCAGATTTTGTACAATTTTCTTTTTCATCGAGGTATGTTTAATTTATTATTCTAAAATAA